GGTGAGCAATATAATATTCAGCAAAAAGAAATTGATTTGGATGGAGGGAAAAAAAAGAGAAAAATTTTCTAATAACCAAAAAAAAAATGATTGATATGTATTTTCGAGAGTTTTCTTGAATTTCGTATTATTTTTGCGCTTTATTTTTTCTTCCTGTGGGGTGAGTAGGTGGATATGCCATGGCGTCTATGAAGGGGCAAGGGGCATGAGGAAGGAAAGTCGTCGATCTTCAATGCCGCATATAAATATTTAACATGTATTCTACCTGTGGGCTCCAAGTCTAAATAAATAAAAATTTGTAGTCCGAATTTGTTCTTTATATATATGTGTGCGAGCGCGCGTGTGTTTTTGGGCTCATTTAATCTAATATTTTCCTTTTCAATGCTTTGATTTAGTCTGATCTTAATGTATACCGCGAAAACACACACATATATATGCGTTCTTTTTTTTTTTTGTATAACATTACATATTGTGTTGGGAAAATTACACAAAGGCCGTCCCTACTTTTTCCCAATTTTCCATTCCTCCCCTAAATTCTCCGCTTATTGCGCAAACTTTTGATTTCCAACACGATAAACCTAGTTAATTAACCCACCGAGATTCGCTAATTTGGACCCATTCAACACTAGATTGAGAAGTTTATGTCGGCTCAAAATTTTTTAAACAAAATACTCCGATACTCTTCGGCTTTGCTTTAATTACACACATCTTCCCCATATTTTTAAAACTCACAGACATATATATAAAAATATTCCGTAAAATTAGAATATACTTTACAGCAACCTCTCATATAGTTAAGTTCCATTTACCTCAACTATCTAACATGTTATAAACTTTATTAATTTTGATTATAGTATGAAATTTTATGTTTTGAATTTTTCAACAAATTTGTTGAAACTCATTTATTTTGATGTTTTAATGGAAAAATATATATATTAAACGTCTGATTTTGTTGTATAAATAATACAAGTTTGAGAGATTGTATAAAAAATTTAAATTTATAATTTAAAATTATTAAACATATTTTTGTACTAGCATTTATAAACATATTTAGTCAAGTATATATTTATTACAATAATTAATCAAATTTTTAATCAAGCTTTTAACCTCAATGGCCAATGCTAAAACTCATAATAAGATATTAAGCAAATAATTATTTAAAAATAAAGGGGAAAAACTAAAATCCCATTACAAAAGAAAACAAAAAACTTAAATCCTTTTATGAAGGAGCAACAGAAGGTATTATTGGAGAAGCAGTTAAGTGAGGTTTGTTACGAGTTCTTCTTGACTTAATAATCTTCAGAATTACTACTGTAATAATAAGTCATAATTATATAACGATTGTTCCCTATCACACTATTTAAATTTTTTATAAAAAAAATCTCCAAGATTATTTACATTCTACCTCTACCGTACCGCTGTATATACTTATGGAAATAGCACATTATTTGCATCAAATGAAACTATATATATATATATATATATAAAGAGAGCAAGGATATATAATCACGAGTCATTCTGAATTAAAATAAAAGGAGAGTGCCAACAACTATGATTATTTAAAACTGTTATTTGAAATTAAAACAGTTTGGCTCATCAAGCAAATCCTTTTGGCAAGTTTCGAAAAATTATTTTCACCATTATTATAAAAAAGAATAACTATTTTCATATTCTATAGGATGGCGACAAGAATGAGCGAAGAAGACGTGTCCCTGAAAATGAAAGGAAAAAAAATCAAAACAAGAACAAGCTTGAAACTAGGGTGAGGGATGAATATGAGTTTTGATTTGGAAAAATACATCCTTTTTGCTACCTCAGTTCTCCATTGCTGCACTTAACTTCCCTATGGCTGTTCTTGCTGCTCGGGTTTTCTTTTTCCTAATTTTTCAAACCGTCGAAAGTAAATTAGAAATTTATTATAAGGATAAATTAGTAAATAAAATTTATTTTAATAGAAATTTTAATTCAAAAGTGTATTTTTAAAATCTTTTCAAAATATTATTTATGCATGGTTTGGACTTGAATGTACCTTTTCAAAATATATGAGAAGTCTGTGTAATTAAGATAAAATAAAGGGATAGTTAGAGTATTTTATTAAGTTTTTAATCTAATCATATTTCTAAACGAATAACTTGGAATTCACCGATTGAGCCTGTCAATTTGGTCGGATTTTATATTTCATTGTATTATGTTGACCCAGGGTCAATAAAAATTAATTAATTACTTTTAATAATTTATATTACTTTTAAATTTAGTTCTTACTTTTGCTTTTTATTAAAAAAAGAGAGTCGATTCTTATAGTGCGAATGCCAGGTTTCCCGTCACTTCCCCCGTGATTTATACCTGTTTTTTGATTTAACCTTTAAGCCTTTTTTTTTTTTTTGAAAACATTACAATAAGATCTCAATAAAGAAAAATAATTATTAAAAAATTCTAATAATAATCTAAACAGTTTGTAATAACAAGTTTTACAATAAAAAAAATGACAACTTTTGAAACTTGTTATATAATCTTTTTTTTTTGGTTGGGAGTTTAAATAGTAGATTTAGTGGAAAGAGTTTTTTTTTCGTAAGTTTATTTCTTATCCTTTTTTATAATATTAAATTAGTCAAATACATGGTTTAAGAAATTTGTTAATGTCAATTAAAAATAATAAATATATAAAGAATTCTTTTTCTCAAACATACCCCTGTTTAGCACAAGTTAGGTGAGAGAGAGCGAGAAATTTAAAAAGAAAAAATAAAAAGAGGATGTAGGTAAAAAAGGATAATGCAATTAATGAAAGATACAATTAGTAAATATGCATTTAATGCCCAGACAACCTCAAAATACAGTAGATCATATATAAAAAGGACAGGATTAATCCAAAAATTTGGATAGAGTATCCCCTAACTTGATTAATAATATCAGCATATGTATTAATTATATCATGCATCTATTAATTTCCTCTCTACTAATTTCCATACAGAAGTCACCTCACTCAATAATATTAATACAGATAGTCAGGTATTAATTTCCTTATTTGTTGGATTAGTAAATATATATTTTGATATATGCCCGGTTATACTATATTACTATTCTTATAATCCACTTCTAATATATTTTACACAAATCGAGAAAAACCTTAAATTTCATTAACTCTCATTTAAAATTTAATAATTTTTTAATTTTATCCCTATTTAATATACATTATAGCTCATGCAAACAAAATCAACGCAATGATAAACAGATGATAAAATTGTACATCCATATAAAATTTTTCTCAGTGCTTTATAAATAGGATTAAAAATTTTTTTCTTTCTCTATCCTATAAATAGTATGAAAGGAGTATTAGAAATTGTGATAAGAAAGGACATAAATTAATACCAGCAACACATAGTAATGGGGTTGGGGGTGATAAAAATGATATTAAAAATTAATTTAATTTCATGATAATCTTAAAATTTTAACTATTTTTTACGGCACACATAAATTATTCGGGAATGGTTGGAGTTGGAGCGTATACAAGTCACGCGGCCACCACCGAGCCCCATGTACAACGCAGCCACCACGAAGTCCTATTCACATGTCTTCAAAGCTTGGTCATTTGGAATTGCTTGATGAAATATGACATCGAGATGAAAAACTGATTGATTATATATTGAATCTGAGACTATATACCATGTCATCCAAAAACAACAATATCCTAATCTGAATAAAATAAATATTTTTATTTTTTAAACACACTTATTCTCTATCCCCTGACACACACTCACGCATTGAATTCTCTAGAATTAGAATATGGATGAATGGCATGCCTTATACTAATTTAGAGTAAGCAATGATTCGTTTGAGGAAAAGAGAATTTAGGCCATAAACTTCCACGAAACGAATTAATTAGTGTTTTTTTTAAAAAAAAAAGTTTATATCATTTTGCGATCCAACACTTGAAGATCGACCAAGAATATATATATGTCGTCCTTTTGGTCAAAAAAAAAAAAACAAGAAGTAAGAAGGAAACTTGACAATGGTTCCGAGGTATAAAGCTTCATATATACTAACGAGGAAAAGATGAAAATATAGTTTGAAAATACAGTTTTTTTCTACCACTAATAGTTATGTATTTTTATTTATTGATTACTTGTTTTAAAATACAGTCTTGAAGTGTTGGTTTATTAGTTATATATGAAAATATCCTTGTATGCATATCTGTAATGGTGCTAAATAGGTAAGAATAATGTCAGATAGGAATAAAGGAGCAAAAATAAATAAAAGATGAGTAAAATTAAAACAAGTGGGGGGAAACTGGTTTTTGGCGTTGACCGGCGGGCCGCGTCAGTCTGCGAAGGAAAAAGTCTATATGTTAGCAATGACGCCGCGGGATGCCAAAATTATGATAAGAGTCCTTTTAAAGTACACGAAGTAAACTTCATCTATGAAAAGTATCCAAACACCGACGGGGGAGGAACTATTGGACACGAAATGCGAAGAGTCTTAGAAGTTACGATGAAGACTCGAAACCGTTCAGTTGAGGTCTTCATTGTCGTGTTTAGAAGGGGCTTAAAATTTAAATAAATAAAAATTTGTCACGACCTTTGCACAGATATAGAGGAAAAGAAAACAAGAATAGACTAATTATTTATTAATTTGATTGTTAGATATTTAGATTTATCGAGTGTGCACTGTATAGCGTTTTCATCACATAAAAGGTAAACAATAATCAAGGAAATCAAGAAATAATTCATGCTTGTTTAGAAAACTTTTAAAATTTTAGTTATCTAGAATATTTTTTAATGTTGGTTGAAAATGTAGAAAATCAGAACAAGTAATTCTCCAAAATGTGTCATATAATATGAAACGGAGTGGAGTAAGCATTACGGTTCTAGCTATAATCCAGTCCACATCTCTCTTCTTAACCACTGGCTCTCAAATTCTAAATCTGCCGCGTTGAAAATTCCAAAATAATAAAAACTATGATAAATATAAATGAGAATGGCAAAAGGAGTTAACAGACTGTCGGCATGTGGATTGAAATTGATCATCACAAAATAATTCGTCTCATGAATTCTCTTCAGCTCTGTCTTCTTCCTTGCCTTGTAATCCTTTCGATTGCCAGAATCAAAGGACAGACTTACTTCTGTTCCCCTACAACTTATGCCCAGAAAAGCACGTTTCAGACAAACGTGAATCACTTACTCCCTTCCCTTTCCTCCAACACCAATCAAAGTGATGGATTTTACAACACCACCGTCTCCGGGCAAGGAAACAACTCCAACGACACCGTCTACGGCATGTTCCAGTGCCTCGGCGATGCCACCGTCCAGACCTGTCAAAAATGTGTTTCCGACGGGATCAAAGACATCCTTCAGAGATGCCCCAATAATACAGGAGCCGTCGGGTGGTACGACAAGTGCTGGTTACATTACTCCGACCAGTATTTCTTCTCCAAAATGGAAGAAGAACCCCAGAGGATTGTTGTTAACACCCGCAATGCAACGGACACGAATAGCTTTATGAATCGTTTGGGAGAAACCTTGAGAGTGGTTGCCAAAAAAGCGTCGGAAGGCGGAAGCAAAAAATTTGCGACAAAAGAAGCAAACTATACTTCTTTTGAAACTCTGCACACTATGGCGCAGTGCACGCCGGATATATCTGAGATTGATTGTCTCAACTGTCTCGGTAACAGTATTAGCAATTTGCCTTATTGCTGTAATGGAAATGTCGGCGGAGTAACCCTCAAGCCCAGTTGCTATTTAAGGTATGAAATGTACGCCTTTTACCAGGAAGCGCCTCCGCCGCCTGCTCCTTCGCCGGAATCCACTTCTAAAGGTCAGTTGTTATATGTTGCTTGAAGGAAAAAACATTGTACGAGTTTTTTTACCCAAAATTAATATACGTGCTAAGTTGCACTTGAAATATTGTTTGGACAACGAGGATAAAACTATTCTGATAAATTTAATTTACTAGCTATGGGCATATTATACGAGGTGGTTTGATTCATAATTAAATTAGCAAATGGTAAATTATATGAATTTTGTATTTTTTAAATATAAATATAATTTCTCATAAACAAATATATATTTTATATTTTAGTTTAATTTCAAATTGAATATAAGACTTTCGATTTAAAAGTTTAAGCGTAAAGAATATGTAACTTAAACTGATAAATGATATTTTAATTAACAATATATATTTTTTTATTATAAAAGGGTGAGCTAACAATTTGGCATAGCGAGTGGGATCAAACCTTTGTGCCACTATACAACACGGTAATTAACAATTTTAAACTTAGAAATTGTTTTATAAGAAGTTAGAGAATATGTCAAGGATAAAGAAAATAACTGCATAATTTTAATAAAAATAGTGAAAAAAATATGTGTAACATAGTCGTTTTGTTTTTATTCAGACAAAGGCAGGATTTCAGCTGGGATAATTATTGCCATAGCTGTTCCAACAGTGACATTCATATTGCTCTGCTTCTGGTGCTTAAAAAGGAGAGCAAGGAAATATGCTTCAGTTCCTAAACAAAGTGGTATGATTAATATCAGCTCTCATATTTAATTTTATACACATGCAATTTTCACTTTAATTATTGCATGGAAGTTCCTTAGATGACTAATTAATATCATAATCCCTACCTTTTTTTTTTTCGGTTTTGTAGTTGACATTTCAAGCGTAGAATCCCTACAATTTGATTTGGATACCATCAAAACAGCCACAAATGACTTCTCTCCTGACAATAGACTTGGTCAAGGAGGATTTGGTGAGGTTTACAAGGTATATAAATCTATCATACTCTTAAAAATCGGGATCACGATTCTTAAAATCATAAATTACAATTTGTGTGCAAATGGATTTTAATATGTTGATTATTCTATATGAAGGGTGTTCTACCTGGTGGACAAGAGTTAGCCGTAAAAAGACTATCAAGCGGATCAAAACAAGGTATGGGAGAATTTAAGAACGAAGTTATTACAATGGCAAAGCTTCAACATAGAAATCTCGTAAGGTTACTTGGATTTTGTTTGGACGAAGAAGAAAAGATACTCGTATATGAATTTTTGCCCAACAGAAGCTTGGATAATTTTTTGTTTGGTACGTTTTGCAAAATTATTTTCTGCATTTAATTTGTATTGCATATGCTCACTCTTCAAATTATATGATAATTATTATTAATTGCATTGGTTAACCTGCGGTGAGGATGTGAATCTAATTTTTTATCTTATTATTTGAATGGCTTCTTATTGGGCGTCCAGGACTTGAAAACCAGGGTAAATTGAATTGGTCAAGGCGTTACAAGATTATCGTAGGCATTACAAGAGGGATGCTTTATCTTCATGAAGATTCTCGACTAAAAATCATACATCGTGATCTCAAAGCTAGTAATGTATTGTTGGATGAAGATTTGAATCCAAAAATCTCTGACTTTGGTATGGCTAGAATTTTTGGAGTCGATCAAACGCAAGCAAGCACAAGCAGAGTTGTCGGCACCTTGTAAGTTAAATTTCTTCATGCCAATTGTTTCGCATCATACTTTATAATAAACTTGAGAAAAGAAATTATTTATCATGTAATGTGTGCTTTTTTTTTTTGTAGTGGATATATGGCTCCAGAATATGCAATGCATGGTCATATTTCAATCAAATCTGATATATATAGTTTTGGTGTCCTGATTTTGGAGATTATTAGCGGCAAGAAGAATACATCTTTCTATATTTCAAGCTATGCTGAAGACCTACTAAGCTATGTGAGTATATTATCTTTTTTCGAGTGAAAGCGACGTAGGTATATTATCAAAAGTAAACAAACTTAGATGGTAGCTAGAGGGGTCAAAATCTTGACACATTAATTATATATGATTGGACTTGCCCTTTGCAGGCCTGGAGGCTGTGGAGGGAAGGGAGGCCATTGGAATTGCTGGATCCTAGTTTAAGAGATTCTTGTTCGAGAAATGAAGTTATTAAATGCATCCATATGAGCTTGTTATGTATTCAGGAAAACCCAGCTCTGAGACCTACAATACAGTCTATTATGGTGATGCTAAGCAGTCACTCCGTCACATTGTCGGATCCTCAGGAGCCAGCATTTTTTGTTGGTCGCCATAGAACAGATGCAAACAATCCAGCCATTTATGAAAATATTTCAGATCAATCTACCAGCAAGTCTGCGCAGTGGTCTGTAGATAAAGATCCGATTACTGATTTCTACCCTCGCTAGTACCCTTGTGTATTACTTAAATGCTCATCAACTCAGTAATGTATATGTCAAACATCGATGAAAGCTTGAAACCAGTGCTCAAAAATAAAACTGGTTACGAAAGAATTTTTGATTAGGTAAAGTATCCAGAAACTAAATCAGATAAGTTACTTGTATTTGTATATTTTACCTTCCGAGGGGAGGATAATATGCCAGATTATCACACATATCTTTGACTCAATAACGAATGATGTTTCTGTTAATGATTCTCAATCCACTCATTATACGCAGTTGATATTTGAACAACTGGAATAATAGAGAAAAATTCATAAGAGGATGTACGTAGATGTGCATGGTACATCTTAGTTAAAATCGAAATTAATAAACGAAGGAAAAGGGAAAGCGATCAAGTTGTCCCTCGTCACTGTTAAAAGTTTTAAGCAAAAGATTACGATCAGTTAGATGTCCCTCTCTCATTTTTAAAGATTATTCTTCGGATTTATGTTTTTTCACCTTATTGTATCGTAATCAGAAGACTACTCTGATAAAGGTAGATAGTTGTATATATTTTTGGAAAAATCCTAAAAACAAATTACTATTGAGTTTCAAAATTTTAAATCAGTATTTATTACTACACTCATAAAGAAAATGAGTACACTCAAAAAGTAAATGACAACATATTTTTGCAGTAATTTCCAATTTAGAATTTTGAAATTCAACAGTCTTTTTTTGAGATTCTTTTATATTTTTTTATCTCTATCTTTTATCATTTGAACATAAATTTTGAATTCTTCATCTAAATGAAATTTTTTTATTTAAGCAAAAAGTTTTTGATATCTATGTGTCCTCACCCTGAAATTTTTCATTTTTGCCTACCTTTTCAACTATCATTTAGGTAAAATACTTTTTTCTTAGATTATTATGAACCCGTGTAATTTCTGGAAATATAATCCAATTATTTATTTAACAATATGGTATTCCTATTTTCTTTCGGCATTGACGCGGAAAGAAGAGTCTAATGATAAATGACAATTAATGAAGACTTGAAAACATTTTCACGTTAAAAAAGGCCTAAAAATTTAAATAAACAAAATTTCTTCACGGCCTTTTCGCAGATACGAAGAAGAATAGATGAAAACATTAATCATTTATTAATTTTTTATTATATCATTATATTTCTCGAATTTTTTTTTCATTACTTAATGTATAGGTGAACAATACTCAAGAAGAGATGGTGATTTCTAGATTTTATCCAACACAATGCTGGTTAAAGATATAATTGTTCAAGCTAGATATATTTCTGTGTAAGAATTGAGATGTAGACATCGTAACGCAAATCTCATATATAGAGGCAAATTTTTGTGTCCATCTTTCAGCATTGAAATAATGTAGACGTCGTAACATAAATCTCATATATAGAGGCAAATTTTTGTGTTTGTGACCATTTTTTAGCTAGAAATACGAAATTCTAGGTAGGTAATTTATGCACTTTTAATTTGATCAACCATAAGTTGTCTCCGACACATTTAAGATTTGGCAAGCTAGCCCGCGTTGAATCATTGTAAAAGTAAAACCATGTGTTCTGAAAAAGCAGCCCCTTTAATTTGTACTGACGCTGGAAGTCTTGAACCTAAAAGAAGGATGGAAGAGCCCAATAAAGGTGGACCATTGAAAATGTGGAGTTGTAAGCAGGAAAAGTCGCAACAAAATTTAAGGCTAACTGTATAATAAATTCTAGTGATGGAAGATTAATTCCTCCTTACGCGTTCCTCAAAGATCCCGTTTAGTATAAGGCATTAAAAATGAGGGATAGGGATTGAGATTGAAAGTGTAAGACTATATTAAAAAGATGTTTAGTATGAATAATTGTATGATACTTGGGATTAGACAAACTCATATGTGGGATTGGGGAATACCATAAGGGGAGGTAGTATTCTCCAATCCTATTAATATGGGATTGCCCAATCTCATGTGATAAGAAATTATTCATGCTAAGCATCCTTTTAACATATATTTTCAACCCCAATCTCAATCTTTATCCTTTCTTTTTAATACTCCGTACCAAATGTAACCTTTCTTTATCCTTTCTTTTATTCCCTTATTTCTAACCACAATTCCAAACATTGCATCTGGCCCGTCAGCGCCAATAATAAGATTACCATCAGTAGTTAGATGTGTCCCTCACTAGCTAATTTTCAGAGAGGATTATTCTTAGCATATATTTTTCCACACCGTACACTTGAGTAACCAAATGATTCTCTCTGACTAAGGTTATTCGCGCACACTTTAGTAATATTATTAATTGTGTTCTGACCAAAGTTTCATCTAATGATGAGAAGACCAGTATTTACAGGGAAGGAGAGACAAGCAACATACTGCTATATGACTATTATTTTCAGTATTGTATGGGGAAAATAATTTAATTGATTATTTAACAGTATGCTATTCCTATTTGATGATTTCGGTATTGATATGGATGATGATGAAAGTTTATCATATACTCCTCTAGTTCTACCTATATGTTTTGACAAACTACATTAAAAACGACTTATAAATAAAATTATAGGAGTGCGCATCTCATGCTCATTAATCGTGTTTAATTCGATTGCCGTCAAGGGAGAAATTTAGCTATGAGGAAGTTATCATACACACGTTTTATTTGAACCAATAATAAATTAATAACAGAGAAGACTTGAAAAAAAGGGCCTTCATTGTCGTATGTATGGGGACTCAAAAAGTCAGACTTACGATAAATGAACGCTGAAAATTCAGTACGCGTGAGACGACTTCCATAACCAATGGTGGAAATTCCACGTCAGGAGGTCAAGTGCAGTTAATTCTCCAAAATTTTGTCCAACATATTGAAAGAGAGGGGTAGTACGATTTTAGTCCAGTCCACCTCTAGTCATTGGTTTACAAATTCTAAATCTGCCGCGTTGTTGAAAGTTCCAAAGTAATAAAAACTATAAGCATAAATGAGAAGCAAAAGGACTTGAGAGACTTGTACGTATGGTACATGCAAATATATTACGCCGCTAGCGTATGAAATGGCATTAATCATCACAAAATGATTCGCTTAGCGTTATGATCACTCTTTACAATAAAAGGTTAACAGAAATAATTGCAAGATAGATCAGAGGCTGCAATACTCATATATATATATATATATATATATTTGTAACCACACTTACAATGACGAACTAAGAGATGAAGAAGAACCAGAAGCATTACAGATAAAATGACAAGCTACAGCGGCTACGTGAAAGGAATAAGAACAGAAGAAACTCGATAGTCACAGTGACAATGGCCAGAGAGAAGAGAGAAGAACGATAGAGAGGAATCACCACAATAATCTTCACTGCCGTAAGCCCCCATTTCCCTCCATCTAAATACCCTATTCCACTCCTCATAAGCCCAACTACTGCATCTTGTGGTCCATTAGTCTTAGGTTCACAGTCAGCCCACTTTATGTTGAGCCCATTCATTACACTTAGCTTCATCAATTCTCCTAACCTCTTTCTTCTTTTTTGCCTTATAATCCTTTTGATTGCTAGAATCAAAGGACAAGCAGAAGGACCTGATCACTATTGTTCAGATTTTACTTACGCCCAGAACAGCACATTTCAGACAAATGTTCATGGCTACGTTCTTCCCTTTCCTCCAACGCCAATAAAATCGTCATGGATTTTACAACACCATCGCGGGGTAAGAAAATAACAACAACACCCTCTATGGCATCTTCCAGTGCCTCGGCTATGCTACCGTCCAGACTTGTCACAAATGTGTTTCCAGCGGAGTCAAAGATATCCTTCAGAAACGCCCCAACAATAAAAGAGCCGTCGGTTGGTACGACGAGTGCTGGATACGTTTCTCCGGCGACTGGTATTTAATTTCTTCAACAAAATGGAAGAAGATCCTAGGTCATTTTTAACTAACAACACCAAGGCAACAGACACCACTAGCTTTATGAAGCGGTTGGGTCAAACCTTGGGAGTGGTTGTGAAGGAGGCATCTGACGGCGGAAGCAAGAAACTTGCCAAGAAAGAAGACTATAGTGATTCTCATCCTCTACATATGGCGCAGTGCACGTCGGCTATATCTGAGATTGATTGTTACAGCAGTCTCAATAGATGTATCGACAATTTGCATATATGCTGTGATTTTTTTTTTGGGGGGGGGGGGGGGGACTGAAGCCTAGTTGCTATCTAAGGAACGAAACGTACCCCTTTTACCAGGAAGCGCCTCTTCGTCCACCAGTTCCTTCCAAAGGTCAGTTATTATTCCTTCCAGGAAAAGTATATCAAGTATGTGAGACTGAACATCTAACTAACGGCGATATTCATAATCCAAGTCTCGCTCTGCATCCTGTGCCTTAGACGGAGAGCACGCAAGAATGTTTCAGTTCCTAAAACGGGTATTGAATTAGCCTTCTTGTTTGGATAGACGTGCAGTTTTCACTTTACAAGGTAATCAGTATGTTTCCAATGATGAATAATATCAGAAATTTACAATGACCTAACAGTTTTCAATTGACTATTCAAAGTAAACATATAATGTTTGTAAAGTCTTGGGAAATTGATTATACGTAGCTGAGATTTCAAGTGCAGAGTCGCTGCAGTTTGATTTTCGATGACATTAAATCAGCCGCAAACGATTTCTCCCCCGACAATAAACTTGGACAAATTATTTTCTGGTGGATAGGGCGAGGTGTACAAGGTATATAATTCTAGCTATTTTCTTGATGGATATCTCAAGCGCTCTCAAACATAAATTATTTTTGTTTATAAATTGATTTTAGTAGCTGGTTATCTTCTATGCAGGGCATTTTACCTGGTGGACAAGAGTTAGCTGTGAAGAGACTATCAAGTAGTTCCAACGAAGGTTTGCCTGAATTTAAGAATGAAGTAGTAACAATGGCAAAACTTCAACACAGAAATCTTGTAGGTTTTCTCGGATTTTGTTTGGATGAAGAAGTAAAGATACTTGTGTATGAATTTGTGCCTAACAAAAGCTTGGACAACTTTTTGTTTGGTGAGTTATGCAGAATTATTTTTTGAATTTAGGTAAACGAAATAATTC